TGGGGCGAGTGCGCTCACCCCACCCCTCCCTTCCGCGGTCTCGGCCCCCACCCCGCGGGGCCCAGCCCCAGTCCCAGCCTCCGCCGGGCCTGTCCCGTGCGGGCCCGTGCCGCCTCTCAGCCGGCGACGCCCGGGACCGCCCGCCCGGCCGTCCGCCACCATGGAGCTGGAGGATGGTGTGGTGTACCAGGAGGAGCCCGGCGGCTCCGGGGCCGTGATGTCAGAGCGGGTGTCCGGCCTGGCCGGCTCCATCTACCGCGAGTTCGAGCGGCTCATCGGGCGCTACGATGAGGAGGTGGTCAAGGAGCTGATGCCACTGGTGGTGGCGGTGCTGGAGAACCTGGACTCGGTGTTCGCGCAGGACCAGGAGCACCAGGTGGAGCTGGAGCTGCTGCGGGACGACAACGAGCAGCTCATCACCCAGTACGAGCGGGAGAAGGCGCTGCGCAAGCACGCCGAGGAGGTGAGGGCCGGCGGCGGGGGCGGGGGTCGCGGCCCGGCGGGGGACGCTGGGCGCGCCGGGCCAGCCTCCTGAAGGGCAGGCCCGAGGCCAGGCCCCCGGGCGGTGCCCCTCCGCCTCGCGGGAGCCCGGGAGCCCAGGCAGGCCAGCGAGTGTCCCGAAGGAATGAGGTGGGAGGGAAGGCCCGGGAGGAAGCGACACCCTGGCAGGAGGGCACCTGGGGTTGCCCAAGGGCGGAGGCTCGGCGGTGTCTGGTTGCTTCTTGTTTGGGGAAGTTTCCGACCACCGTCGGAGAGGCGGGTGGCAGTTCAAACTTTTACCATTGGGGAGGGGGGCACTCCTGTCCTGTCCTGCGTGTTGAGTTCCGCTGGCTTCGGTGCGGTTCCTGGGGGGCGGGGGGGGGCGGTTGCTGCTGCTTTGGGAAGTTAAGAGATCTCCCTCTTTCGGTCAGTTTCTTTTTGACATTTAAATCCTCTTGAGAAAGAGGTCTTATTTTTATGTCTTATGTACCTTGCTTAACACTTTGTCAACCACTTAGATGTCGAATAGCAGTGCCATTAAGCACATAAAGTATAGTCATTTGTTAATATCCCTCACGCAGACATTCCTCCGTATCAGGTGGTAACCTTGGACAGTTCCCTCACCGAACGCTCTATTTATAAAGAGGACTGTGTGTTGAGGGGCGGGGTTGAGTAGGTGTGGGTGACTTGCAACACTTTTCCTGTCTGCGTTTGCTTTGCATACTGCACTTGGCAGGCTCTTTGCCTGAACACCTGAGAGGTGACCTTTGTGCTCTCACCTGAGTCTGTGGCTCTTTTCAAACACTCGAGTGCAAATGATCCGTCTTGGCTACTTGAGAGAGTTAAGGATCTTAACCCTCAGGCTGAGTGCGTTGGCATTATTTCTGAGGAACTTTTCTAATAGGGCAAAGTGCCTTGTTTTTGTTTTCAACCTTGCTGAATACTTGGAGATTAAATAATTATAGAAGGAAACACGAGTTGTTTTTCAAAAATACTTGACAAGTTTTGAGGGTGTGAGATTTGTTTGGTAGCTCATTTCCTAGCATTAAATAATAGCACCATTTAAATGTTTTGTTTTGTCACATGCACCTTTGCATTCAGATAAACAGTTCTTTTTCTTCCTTTCTTTTATCTTAATTGTTTGTCTCAAAGGAATGACATTGAAATCTACCAGACAAAATGGACTTTATTTCAAGAATATTTCCAAAAATACAGGGAGGGAAGGGTTGAAAAAACAAAGATGAGGTCACAATTTCTATTACTTTATTAGTACTGTTTACAAAACTTGTGAATGCACATAGGAAAGAGTGGGGCATTAGCCACATATACATATAAGTGAGGAGCAGGCCTGGTGTAGTAAAGAGAAATGCTCCCTCAGCCTTAAACACCTGTCAATCCATGTAAACATGGGCAAAATGCCAAGGTCACACATTCCAAGAAAACCATCTGCCACAGGTTGCAGAATCAGAAACTAAAACTACCAGGCTCTGTCTTATATTTATTCCTTAAGTGACTTTAAAAATAGATTATTCACTGAGTTTCTTTGTAGTTTATACTGTAGTTTCAGTTATACTTATAAAATCTTCAAAAAGAAACCTTTGGGTAAAATGTCCTGGCCTGAGAATTCAGAACATTGATGAAATGCTAGATGAGCCAGTTCCCAAAGCGCCATAAACATAAAGCCACTTCATCTTCAGTGCTCCTGTAAGATGGTAAGTCCTTTTGCCTATACCTAGAAGTTCAGTCTTGTAGGCCAGTATCAGAGTGGATCATTTTTAATTTGCTCTGAGTGCTTTGTATCTTTAACAGAGAGATTAAAGTATGTTCTTATAGCAAAAGTGCTTAGGGGAGGGTATTTACAGAAAAAGTAATTTGAAAGCATGGAAATTGTCTATCTCTAGAGTATAAAGTAAATTCTGAGCACCTTTGTGGAAATTTTAGGAAGGTGTGTAAATGATGATGTTTTAAGAGCCTGTGAGGTGCTGTAATCTCTTGCTTGCAGAAATTGTCCGGTGAAGGCAGAAGTTTGATCTTTCTTTTTTAAATTTTATTTTTATTTTATGTGTATGCATGTATTGCCTACATGTAGGTAAGTGCACCCATGTTGTGCAGTGCCCGGGGAGGTCAGAAGAGGTCTTTGGATCCTCTGGGACTGGAATTATGGACGGTTGTTAGCTGCCATGTGGGTGCTGGGATTTGAACCCGGGACTTCTGCAAAAACAACCAGTGTTCTTAACCACTGAGCCATCTCTCCTATCTTTATTATAATGAACATACTTAATTTAAATCTTTTTTTTTTTAATTTGAATTCTGTGTGTATGTGTGTGGGGTTAAGTTTGCTGTTTTGGTGATTATTTAGAACTATCTTAGGGACTGAGATGTAGCTCAGTGGTACAGTGCCTCTCTTGCATTCCTCCTGGGGTCAGTCTCCAGCACTGCAAAAACAACCCCTAGCACCAAACAGACAACAGCAAACCATCACATAAAGAAGGGCAGATTTTTAAGATTTGGAGCAGTTTCAGAGACTAATAATTCTTCCACCCACCACTCTCCCCTTTGGACTTCCCATCACATCTCCTTAACCAAGGCCAGGCAGATTCTTTTGTTCATGTTGCTCTCTTACCCCACAGGTATCGTTCCCTCAGAGCTTCCTTCACCTGGCCAGCCCCTCCCTTCCTCCCTCCCTTCCTCACTTTTTTTTTTTTCCCTTTCTCACTTTTATATCCCTTTTCTCTCCCTTTCTCTGGCCTTTCCTTCAATATAAACTTATTATATAGCCTACACTAGCTTTGAACATGAATTCCTCCTGCCTCAGCCTTCCAAGTCTTGGGATTACAAGCCTGTACTACCATGCCTAGCTAGTTCCTGTCCACTCTATAGTCAGCTTAAATTTTGCTTTTTTGTGAGACTTTCCTGTCCGTTTTGTACTGAAATACAATTAAATCTGTAGCCCAGGCTGATCTAGCCCGGGTTGGCTGTAAAACTTTGGCAGTACTGTCTCAGCTTCCTAAGTGCTGGGATTATGGGTGTGAGCAACCCAACCTGGCTGATTGTTCTTAAAAATCACATTCATTCATTCATTCATTCATTCATCCATCCATCCATTCATTCATTTATTATTTATTTATTTATATGTTTAGGGGGAAGAGAGCAGCAGTGACATGTATGTTGCTTGTGTATGGAGGTCAGAGGAGAACTTGCAGAAGTCGGTTCTCTCCTTCTACCATGTGGATCCTAGGGCTGCAGCTCAGGTTGTCCAGCTTGGAGGCAAGTGCCTTTACCTGCTGAGCTATCTTATGGGCCTCAGGCCTGGCACTTTGTTTCGTTGTTGTTCTTTTCAAGTTTGTTTGATTTTGGGTTTTTTTTTGAGACAGATCTCATAGAGATCTGCTTATCTCTGTAGCTAAATTACTTTTTTTTTTTTTTTTTTTTAAGACAGAGTCTCACTGTATAGCTTTGGCTGGTTTAGAACTCTATGTAGACCAGACTGAGCTCAAACTCACAGAACTCCACCTGCCTCTGCTTCCTTAGTGCATGTGCTACCATGCCCAACCTAAATTAATAACTTTAAAGCTAAAATTCTGAATAGAAAATAATCTAGAGTGATATTTCTGGATATATATGTTACCATTTAGTAAATATTTTTCCTTGTGGAAATTAGGATTCTTTAATTTTTTTCATTTGAAACAGGGTCTCACTGTGTAGCCCCAAATGGTCTGGAACTCTCTATGTAGACCACGCTGTCCTTGAACTCACAGAGTCTGCCTTTTGCCTCTTGAGTGCTGGAAAGGGGTGCACCATCATGCCCAAATGCTAATCTAAAAAAAACTTTTAGCCAGGCGTGGTGGCTCACCTTTAATCCCAGCACTTGGGAGGCAGAGGTAGGCGGATCTCTGTGAGTTCAAGGCCAGCCTGGTCTACATAGTGAGTTCCAGGACAGCTGGGGCTACAGGGAGACCCTGTCTCAAAAAGAACCGCCCCCAAAAAAGAAAGCCTTTTAATTTTTAAGAAGTTTGTGTGTATTACATATGCGTGTACATGTTTGTGGGTGTGTACATATGTATGTGTTGCATGCATGCGTGTGAAAGGCCAAAGATTGGTGGCATACGTCGTCAGATTGCTCTTTACCTTTATTTATTTATTTATTTGTTTGTTTGTTTATTTATTTGTCTCAGTGAACCTGAATATCTTATTTTCTTTTCCTATTGTTATATCATATGCTGACAAAAAAACAATCTCAGGGAGGAAGGGTTTATTTTAGCTCACTGCTCAAGGCACAGTCTTCTCTAGCAGAGAAGTCAAGGCAGCAGGAACTTGAGAAGGAACTGGCCTCATTGTATTCACAATCAGAAACCGAGAGGAATGAATGAATGCATGCATGCTAGTGCTCAGCTTATTTACTTTATGCAACCCAGGATCCCCTGCTTGGGGAATGTTTCTGCCCATAGTAAAATAGGTCTTCCCGTAATAATCCTCCACAGGCATGCCCAGTGACCCATCTCTGGTGATTCCAGATTCTGTCACCTTAACCCTAACTAACCATCACAACTCCATCCTAGGAGCTCACTGATTTGGCTAGTTATTGGCCAGCAAGCCCCAGAGATCCTCTTAATCTCCTCTACCTCCCCAACACTAGAATTATAGACTCCATCTACTGGCTTTTTACTTGGGTGCTAGGGATCAGAACTCATGCTTTCATGGCAAGGGACTTTATTGAGAGGGCCATCTCCCCAACCCATGATTCTTTTTTTTTTTTTTAATTTTTTTATTTATTATTTTTATTTTACGTGTATGCGTGTATTGCCTGCATGTAGGTAAGTGCATCCGCGCCGTGCAGTGCCCACGGAGAACAGAAGAGGCTGTCGGATCCCCTGGTACTGGAATTATGGACAGTTAGCTGCCATGTGGGTGCTGGGATTCAAACCTGGGTCTTCTGCAAGAACCAGTGCTCTTAACCGCTGAGCCATCTCTCCAGCCCAAGCC